ACATAGTTTGTCATTGATTTCACCCCACCCCACGCTGAGTATTAGTCACACACATAGAGTCCTGTAGTATATTGGTTGGAGCTCTCGCCTCACAAGCGGGAGGACCCGGGTTCGATTCCTGGGCAGGGCAAAACCTTAGGCAAGTTTCCTTGCTCCACACACCTCTGTTTACCTAGCAGTAAGTAGGAAGCTGATTGTTAGTTCAATTGGCAGATCACTTTCAAGGGATAATAGGGGTAAAAAATAATCGGTCACTCAGTCCATGACTGTTTGTGGGACACTGCTATGCGCCATTGACTGCCGTGTTTCGCTCACAAAATACAGTCTATTCACTTTACAGTATATTCTGTGAAGCGCTTTGAGACATCTTGAAGACATGATAAGGCACTATATCAAATGCAAAGAGTATTATCACATCAGTACAGAATGCAATGTTGTGTCAGATTGAAGCTCAGATCTGGCTCATTGTTTATCTGTCTCATCTGCCTGAAGCGCACTGCAGAGGGTGCTCATAATGGATACCAAAATAGGGTGTTATGCAACTTTCTGTTGGCTAGACTATTTATCATTCACTTTTTGTCAGTGGGTGTGTTGGACTGGACAGTGGCAGACATGAGCTGCAGCTTGGCATCCTCATTAGAAGTGCGGAGGGAATTTATTTTCACAACTGAACACGTTATATTGAATTTGCAAAGATACAATTAATGTGGGTAGCAGCCTTTAATTTAATCACAGGCTTCAAAAAACATTCTTAAACCATTTAAGTTTCACTCTTGTGGGTTATGGTATTAGTTGACGCCCTGCATTAAAACACAGGCCCTGGTCTTTACTTTTAACCAGCTGCAGTTTTAGATTGATAAGTAGGCAGTGTGAGAAATGTGTAGCAAATAGCAAAAAATTATTTATCTGTCATCGCTGCTGGTAACTCTCTCCGGAGCTTGAAGGGTTAATGGGAGATTGCTCAGTGAGCAGGACAGAGCAACAAGAAACCTCCTGCTGGGAAGAGCTGCTGAACAATGCTGGTAATTAATGAGAAATGCACATTGAGAGAGAGGCATAGTGCAGTACAGGACAGGGGGGGGTGGGGGAGGAAAGTATTGAATGGTGCGGAACACATGCTGGGCAGGATCCAGTGAAGTAGTGTTGTGGGATGCAAAATAGACAGAAAAATAAATCTGAAGGTGTTTGGGATTCCACGGGGGATGGGTTGGAAAAGAACTAATGTTTTGCAATGAGAATAAATACAACAACTTATATTTATATAGAGCCCTTCACACAGATGGAGTCTCGGAGCGCTGAGCAGCGGCGTGGGCTTACTGCCAAGCCGAATGGTGGGGAGGGATCGAAGGAACGGTCAAAGAGGTGTGATTTGGAGACGGGCAAATTCAGAGGCAAGACAAATACAATACAATACTAAATTACATTTGTGTAGTTGTTTCACATCGGGAGGACGTCACACGACGCCGGACAGTCAGGGATTTGGACCCGAGCGGGGGATTTAGGTTCAGGGAGGGTAGGAGGGTGGCCAAAAGCGCGGCCGAAGAGGAAGGTCTTGAAATGTGCCTTGAAGGAGGCAAGGGAGGGAGCAAGGTGAAGGGAATGTGGGGTGGAGTTCCAACTGATGGGGGTAGAGATGCTGAAGGCCCGACCGTCAATGGTGGGGGATATGGGGCTGCTGAATAGAGGGACTGGACAGGTTTATTTGGGGTTAGGTGGTCACAGAGCTAGGGAGGGGCAAGGCCGTGGATGGCCTTGAAGGCGAGGACGAGGATGTTGAACTCTATCCTCTGGGGGATGGGGAGCCAGTGGAGTGGAGCTGGGTGAGGGTGTAGGTGAAAGGGTCTCGGAGCCCGGTGCAGGAGAGGATGCGAGCTCCAGAGTTCCAGTGATCTGCAGCTTGTGCAGGGAAGAATTGAGAAGGCCGTCAAAGAGGGAGTTTCCATAGTCGAGCCTTGAGGTGATGAATGCGTGTATGAGGATTTTCGTGGTCTGAGGGGTGAGACAGTGGCGGAGCCAGGCAATATTGCGAAGGTGGGGGAAGGCAGAGCGGGTCATGTCATGGATGTGGGGTAGTAAGTACAGTTGACAAAGGGATTGAGGCAGGAGTTCCAGAAATTCTGGGCATAGTGGCTGAAAACATAGCCGCCAATTATGGAGCGGAGGGGAAGAGGGACTGGCAGAAGCCTCGAGCGTGCTGAGTGAAGGCAGCAGGTAGAGAAGTGGAGTTATAAACAATAATTCCAGCTGTGTGTGTTTATGGGTAAGAGGATACAACTCTCAGGAAAGATGTGGATATATGGGCTGGCTGTTTCGCCTGGAGATGAGACGACTGAGGTGGCTAGCCAGAGGTGTTTAAAATTATGAAGGGATTCAATAAGGTGAACATAAATACACTGTTTGCACTTGTTGGTGAGTCCATAACAACAACAATTTGCACTTATATAGCGCCCTCCACGCAGGGTAGTGTCTCAGAGTGCTTAACAGTGTTGGAGCCTGACTCCAGGGGAGAGAGGGAGCAAGACAGATTGAGGAAGAGGGTTCCAGTGTTTCGGGGCGTAATGGCTAAAAGCGTGACCTCTAATGGTGGGGCAGAGGGTGCGAGGGACGAGCAGGAGGCCCGTGCCAGTCAAGCGGAAGTACCAGGTGCTGGAGTGAGGAGAGAGGAGGTTGGAGAGGTAGGGAGATGCCAGGGAGTGACAAGCATATATATGAGATGAGGTATCATTCGTGAGTCATGTTATTAGATAATTATTTGGGGAGAACAAGTTTGCAGGGCTATGGGGAGAGAGCGAGGGGATGGGATTGATTTGGATAGTTCACTTCAAAGAGCTGGCACAGACACGATGGTCCGAATGGCCTCCTTCTATGCTGTATAATTCTATGATGAGTTTATGTACACATACATGAGGGAGAAGGGAATAGAGGGCTAAGGAAAATGAATTAGGATGGCAAAAGCTCATGTGGCGTATAAACACCATCACATATTAGTTGTTTTAGTAAAATCCTTCCCCCACTGATAGCCTGCTATTGCCCACAGGCTCATGTGAATGCACGATTGGCTGCATTCACTGGACATAAAGATGTTAGATTCCAGTCAAACCATGGGAGAACTATTCAATAATCTGTAGAACATAAAACTAGTGTTTGCTCAATAAACATTAAAATATCCACTTATTCGGAGATTTCCAGCTGTCAGAAGTAAACAGAACGGGAGCTGTGAGTGTCTTTCACTCACTCTTTCTCTTCTCCACAGAGAAATCTAAGTTAAGGGAGGGGTGGGGGTGGGGGGCTTCTGTCACTTTTTATGAAATGCGTGAAGAGCTCGCAATCATTTTTGTCAGAGTGTTGTGCCATGTAAGTGACCACACCGATATGCTTTGATGTGACTGTTCTCGTGTCGTCCGTTCACAGCCCTTTATCAATAAGAAGGGGTAAAGGTTGCCACTGTTAGCAATCACTGCTCGATAAATTTCCCTTCGTCGCCGTGAAAGCGCTCGCTTGTGAACAGATGACACACTGGAGTCTAAAAACCTCTCACCGCTGTGTGGCTGACGGCAAAAGCCCCTCCGACGTAAGCGCCATTTTCTCCATGGAAACCCCTGTACGGCACGCAGCCTCCTGAGACTACGGCTCTGATGGGATATTGTGTCCGAGCTGAAGTCTCGCGAGGCAGCACGCCGTATCTGTGCATCAAGTCGACATTTAGTGCCAGAGATATTCAGAACCCGGTGCTCAGGCGAGATCAACCGGCAGCTGTTAAAGTCTCTCATTGTAAACTGAAATGTAGCCAGTGTTTGTATTGAGCCACATGAACAGGCTGTGCAACTTCATAAAACAGTGGTGTCTAAATAATGGCATGGACACAGCCACAGTGCGTATTTGGGAGAAGTCGCAAAACCATTTTTAAGAGATCACTTCAGGGTTGCTGATTCCTTGAGTTTTGTTAAAGATAATAGGGTCTAAATTGCTTTGTTTCTTGCAAGAAATGTGCAATTATCAAATTTCTAGAACATTAGATGATCTGAAGACATTTAAATCCTTTCTTTTGTAACCAGAGGCATAGAATACAGGAGCTGGAAAGAAATATATTACTTTTACAAGATCTTGGTTAGGAAATAGTTGACGCATTGTGTTCCCCCCCCACCCCCCCCCCCCCCCCCAGAAGGATAAAGAAAATAGAAAATGTGCAGGGGAGGATTATAGGCAAACCCATTATATCGTGGTGATCTGGGTCCACACTACACTACTATACTTGGGGAAGTACTATATCGAGGTGTGTAATAAAGGAGTCACCCTATATTGGATGGTGTGGGTGAGTGAGCAGAAGAGTGAGATAAGATTATGTGTCTCACATGGACCAAAAAAAAGCACTGAATTGATGGGCAAAATGGGCTGTTTCTGGGCAGTAACATTCTATAAGTGTCATCAAAGCAAGGTTCATCAACACATGCAATGTTTTAAAAATAATCCTTGCTTTTGACATAGCGCCTTATCACGCTTTTGAGATGTCTCAAAGCACTTCACAGAATATACTGTAAAGTGAATTGACTGTATATTTTGTGGGCAAAATGCAGCAGCCAATTACACATGGGACCATTACACATTTTATATTAAGGAATGTGGTAACTTCGACCCCAGTTTTTACAGAAAGAAAACTAAATGAGTGACATACATGTACAGGGTTTTTTTTATATCTTACTGGAGGTTTTGATTGGCCCCTACCTTTTGGTTCACAGGTCCTTCATCTACAAGGATACAACTTGTAAGAACTCATCAGATTTATGCGGTGTTCCTTTTTAGTTATCCCTGAGAGAAGTACTGTACTTGTTAATATTTTATACAGATTAAACATGTATAAATAACACTCCAGTTGCTTAATTAACATCTGCCCTTCTTTAGTTTAATTGCTGATGACAGTGACAGAGAACTCGGAGCTGAGCGCCACTTATTTGTAGTGTTTCCAGAGTAGGATGTACATGTGGATTTGTTCTGTCTTTCAGTTGATAGTGTGGGACTGGGACTCGAATGGTAAGCACGACTTTATCGGAGAATTCACATCAACCTTTGTAGAAATGCGTGGAGCGATGGATGGCAGACAGGTAGAGCAACGCCTTTTAACTTTGACGCTTTACGGACAGTTTCTCTTTACCAGTTCTTTCTGATGTGACAGACGAATTGAATCGGCGGTAAAGGGAATGTTTTATTCCTGGGTCCCATTTCTTTTATGCCACAGGTTCAGTGGGAGTGCGTCAACCCCAAATACAGAGTCAAGAAGAAAAATTACAAGAACTCGGGCATTGTTATTCTCCACCTCTGTAAGGTGAGGCACTAACTTGATTTTTGGGGAATAATGATAAAAGGCGAAAGGTTATAAATAAAAAATATTGGAACCCTTATCTATGAATTGTAATAATTTATTTTCCCTCCTCTCCCCCCTCTCCACAAAACTTAGTGTAGCCCAATAGGGTTTGGCTGTTTGTTTGAATTTTATAAAGTGCGATTTGCCTCTGGCATGTTTGATATATGATCTGCCATCACAAGGGGAAAGTAATCCTCAAAGTAACTCATGTGGGCAGATCCAATGGTGCCGTGGATGAAGCTGCAGCCTATTGACCTGCAGCTCACTGGTTCAAATCCTTCTCCTTCTTGAGGTTACTTATCTCAACCAGAATTGCATGGGAAGGCTAAACTGGCCCTAGCATTTGCAGGGTTAGGGAGGGAAAAAACAGCTAGGCTTCTGCTCCTTATCCCTCTGCAGCACTCTCTGCTGGTAGTGCATGTGTGTGGCCACTGCGCGAGGAGCGGTCAAGCTCAAATGTCATCGACAGTCGAGAGAGAAAATGGGGAGAAAGATTAGCAAAAATAATAGTACACATTAAATTTTTATGGGAAGAAACAGAGAAAAAGGAGCATCCAACTGCAAGTACTTCTGTGAGTTCACATGTAAGAGTTGGCCTCACATTTATGAGCAAACTGCTCCCTATGCAATAACTGGGTAGATTTCTGTGTTAGCTTGTAGTTTTGCAATTCCCTTTCCCCTATTGGAACAAATCATTCTTTACATTTTGCATGATTACAGATTTGCCTTCACACATCTCGTTCTGTCCAGGTTGAATAATCCTAAGAGTGAGTTTTCACCTTTTAGTTCATGGTCTCTGTGGTGAGACTGTGAGGCTGTAACACTAATCCTAATGTGCAGTAAAAGCTAGCTCAGCATATTAATATTCTATATTCATATTATTTTCTTATTATTTATACAGCACCTTTAATATCAGTAGGACGTCCCAAGGCATTTAACAATATTGGCTTGGCACCTCTACTGTTGAAAGAGAAAATAGGGATAAACATTTCAAAAATATTAAGAATATTATATTAATATTACAAAAATAATATTAAGGTGAGTGACCCTGCCTGTGTACGTGTGTGTGTGTATGTGGTTTTCAGTAAATGTGCAAAAAATCTGTAATAATAAAGAAGATTGCCTCAACTCCACTCTGACTCTTTTTTCTCTCCCATTCTCTCCCTCTCTTGCCTTTCTCCCTCTCTCCCTCTCACTCACTCTCTTTCGATTTTCACAATGGTGATCTTATAAATATAATATGAATGAAAAGGCAGTTGAGTGCTGCAAGGCCTGACCAGCGCACTCTGTCTCTCCAGGGCTCTGTTGCTGACCTAAATGCATCTCAAAATGGTTTAGCGTCTGTGATAGTTTCATTAGAAGTCTCTGACTGACGGTTCTGATTCTTGTAGCTGAATAACTGCACTGATGGTCTCTAATCCACAGATTCACAAGATGCACTCCTTCCTTGATTACATCATGGGTGGATGTCAGATTCAGTTTACAGTAAGTGCAACTTTATTAAGGATTTTATCAAAGTAAAATCGTGCTCCACTTTGGCTTGCTGCAGTTTCTGAAGCACTGACTGAATACTTGAGTGAAAAGCCATCAGGTTTGTATCATGACATGGCTGCTGGCATTTATTGTTGCAGAAAGCTTCGCTCTCTTGGCCTGCTGCTTCTGCCCACACCAGGGCTAAAACTCCAACTAGAGTTAATCTATTAGGGTCTAGTTTTATTGTATTAGCGTAACATTTCACAGCACACAGAATTTGTCAAATTCTTAAATACAGCCTTCATTTTGAAACTGGTTTTCTGCCATTTCTTTTCACGCTCTGCAGAAAATAGGCTTCCGTAAACTGGCCGAATTCTGCACACTTTGAAATGCAACGTTGATAGAGTAAATCTAGACCCAGGGAGAATATCTACCCAGCAGTGAGCATATCTACCCAGCAGTGAGCTAAATGCCTCTATAATGCTTTAGCAACCACACAGCCTTCAATTAGTGATAGCTGAACAAGTGTTTGGGCGTCTTGTTGTGAGGAGAGCAAGCGTGTGGAGCTGCATCTGCTCTCTCTGTTTGCCAGTGAGTCCCTGGATAGTGGCCAGCAGGAGGCAGTGTTAAGCACCACGAGAAGCTCCTCTTTCTGTTCTTCTGTGATATTCTGTTCCTCTGTTCTGTTCTGTGGCTGCTCTATTGGTGGATGGCACACCTACACTTTTGATTTCTCCCTCGATGGCACGTGAAAAAAACATGGAGTTATAAGTTGCCGTGTCCTCTTGACGTGGAAATCTATGAATGTAAACTGTATAGTAAATTAAGCCATTGGGCAGGCTGGACCCAAAGTGGCTTGTCTGGCAGCTAGCAGTTAATTGTTTGGCTTAGGAGAGTACTGATTTTGGTCTCCCAGTTAGGTGAATCCTGGGAAAGCAAAATCATAACCTGATTCATGACCTAAAATTTGCAAAACAAAATCGGTATCCAAAGCTCACAGGTGACACTAGGATCCTGAGTAGAGCAAATCGTTTACATGCTGAAGGCGGTCTGTCACCTGCTGGGTGTTCCTAAACTCATTCCTTAAATGAGGAAGGGAATGCTTTTTGGAATACTGCAAATGTTACCACTATAAATGTAGAATAAAATGGTTCTTATAAGATTACAGTTAATTATTGCCACGAGTAACTAATCTGCTGAATTTAGTGAACAGGACAGAAGAGCACATAGCTCAGGCATTGAATTCACTATATTGAACAACCTTTACAAGATCACATGATTGATTCGGATGAAGAAGGCCCTTTGGCCCTTTTGATCTCATCTTTCCAGAATATCCACCCACCTGTACCCCCATCACAGCATCAAGCTGCTTTTTAAATGATTCAGGGTCCTGGCCTCAACCACGCTTCATGGTAGTCTGTTTCAGTCATTCATTATCGTCTGGGTCCTCCCAAAGTGGTGCTGCAGTGTTCAGGTAAGGAATCTTTTGAAACATGGCACAAGAACCATGAAATTGCATTAACTCCTTGGTTGCCTCAAACACAGGATTAATACTGTACTCAACTAATAACAGAGATTTCAATTCACATTCCTCGGAATGTTATCATAAATGAATGAAGAGATTTGTCAGACAATATTGCGGTAAGTTTATGTTTACTTCTATTCTCTAGTGGTGTGTTTACCTCGAGTAATTTCATTTTGCGTAATCGTCAGTGCTCTCGCCTCGCAAGTGAGAGGATCTGGCGGGGTGAAACCTTAGGCAAGTCTCCTTACTCCACACATCTCTGTTTACCTAGCAGTAGGTAGGATTCCGGTTGTTAGTCAATTGGCAGATCACTTTTCGGGGATAATTAATCCCTCAAAAACAAAATTTGGTCACTCAATTGACAACTGTTTGTGGGACAATGCTGTGCGCAATTGGCTGCCGCCTTTGCCCACAAAATAGGCAGTCAATTCACTTTACAATATATTCTGTGAAGCGATTTGAAACATCTCTATGACATGATAAATTGCTATATCAAATACAAGGATTATTATTATTTTGTATTTTATTCTGACCTCAGAGTCCATTCCTTTCCTTTAAATTATTATCCAATTTCTGTTTCTGCCTGTTGTTTGTATGATCTACTAACCTGCCAGTATGCACATCGGGGATATTGGATATTCAGAGGAATGAGGATTGAAACCTCTGATGGGTTTAGTATTAACCTTATGTTTGAGGTGACCGAGGAGATAATGGATTTTTATAGTTCTCAAGTCATTATGTCAGAAATCCTCAACCACGTTCTACCTGATGGCGGTTGATGTTCATGACTTCAATAACCAATTTGGGGGAAACACACACAAGCAACCATAGAAAGCACATGCATTGTGAATAGCATCATATAGGACATCAGCTGTTTAACCAGATAAGCCACAGGAACCTAAGAATATGAGGCAGCAGCATAGAGGAAGAGATTAGATTAGATTTTACTCCATTTGTTGTTTTGTAGATAACTCTTTTTTGTAGATATTTAGATATTTCTTTTCAATTTACAGCTGCAGTATATATTGTTGTAACATCCCGTATTTGTTGACATTTTCCGTGGTAAATACTGTTGTTAAATATCTTGAAAAATGCCCTGATGTTACTTCCTGCTGTATATCCTGATGTCTGCTGTGTGGAGAATGTGTCTATCTCAGCAAGATTGTTAGGGCTTGTTTATCTACTGATGTTACTTCCAGCTGTAAATCCTGATTTTTATTATCAGTTTTGTGAGCTTTGTCGGCATTGGTTGAACAATGACATTTGATCATCCATTTGACCAAACCTAATCTTGTCTCCATTTGATGCTCACAATCATACTCATACTTGCACTTCCAGACTGGTCCCTGGACAGTAAAACATAATTAGTCACTGTAGAAAACCATTAAGTCCTAATAGTCTTACTGAGAAATAATAATCTTTGTATTTGATATCGCGCTTTATCACGTCTTTGAAATATGTCTAAATATGAGAAATATCTAAATATCTACAAAAGAGTTACGTCTCAAAGTGCTTCACAGAATATACTGTAAAGTGAATTGACTGTATATTTTTTGTGGGCAAAATGTGGCAGCCAATTGTGCACAGCGGTGTCCCATAAACAGTCGTGGATTGAGTTACCAAATTTTTTTTTTAAGGAATTATTACCCCGGAAAAGCGATCCGCGAATCGACTAATAACTGGGTTCCTACTTACTGCAGGTAAACAGAGGCGTGTGGAGTAAGGAAACTTGCCCAACATTTGATCCTGCCTGGGAATTGAACCTAGGTCTCTCGCTTGCGAGGCGAGTGCTCTAACCACTGTATGGAGAGAAACTCTCCCCCCCCCCCATTATCCATCAGTCAATCCTCAGTCCCTCACCCCAGTGAAGAAGCCAATAACTGCTAGATCTTTGTTTTCCAGGTAGCGATAGATTTTACAGCCTCAAATGGAGATCCACGCAACAGCTGCTCTCTCCACTACATCCACCCGTACCAGCCCAATGAGTACTTGAAAGCACTGGTGGCCGTGGGTGAGATCTGCCAAGACTACGACAGGTATGGGCGTGGGGAGAGCGAGTATTATCAATGTGCTGAGCGCTCGCTCCGACACTCAATAACCAACTGCCAGGCTCCCTGTACTCAGCTGATGTAGAAGCTTCAAAACACATAGGTCAGAAGTCAGAAACTTTGACTGCAGACAGATGTCGGAGCCTTGTTGCCAAGTGGGCTACATGGGAGACCGTTTTTTTTGTGCTTGATCGTGCATCCTGACATCGGGGCATGCACCTTTTAATCATAATATAATTGAATAGAAGTAATATGAAAAGATAGTAAATGGTAATGGAATAAGACCAATCTGCACGCACTTGATGATAGGAACAGGAGCAGTCCTTTCAGGACATCGACCCAATTCCATCCAAACCTGATCAACGAGATGTCTCAGCGCTTGAAAGGATATAAATGGATTGACTGTGTATTTTCTGGGTGAAACTCGGTAGCCAGTTGCACACAGTAATATGCCACAACAGCCATGGAGTGAGTGACCAATTTTATTTTGGGAGACAGTTGACTAGGACACTGGGAGAAACTGCCTTCTCTTTACGAATAGTTTCTTGGGATCTTAAACATCTACCTGAACAGGCAGATGAGACCTTGTGTTTAATCTCTCATCCGAAGGACACTTTAGTGAGTTTAGTACAGAGAGGAGATCCCAATTATACAGTTACAAATAGGGCAAACAATTTACACATGGTCAAATCCCACAAAGAGACATGAGATAAATGACCAGTTTATCTGGAGGGTTGCTGACCAGGATACTGGATAAATTCCGTGCTCTTAATGAGTACCATTTTATAAACTGCATTAAGGTCAGCTTTAAATTCAAAGTTTCTCGGGACTTAGAATGAGGAAGAGTTTATTTAATCTCTTGAGATACAATTTGCAGGATGTGGGACTGAATGTCTGGCCCCATGGATCCTTGTAGTCCAGTTTCACACGATCGTGCTGTGATAAGAGTATTTAGCTCTCATTTCAAACCATACATTTTACAAACGATCTGACATGTGGGTGCAATTGAGCTTCATCGGGTCACCCCTCTGTGCCAAGCTAGTAAAGTAATAATAATAATAATCCTTGCATTTGATATGGAGCCTTATCACGTGTTCGAGACGTCTCAAAGTACGTCACAGAATTTACTGTAAAGTGAATTGACTGTATATTTTGTGGGCAAAGTACAAAAGCTTTTACCAAATACCAGCGCCCTCTTTGAATCTGAACGCTCTGAAATGGGCTTCTGTTGCACAGATAGTTTCATAGCAATGGCCCAGAATGTCTGAGGCTGACACATATAACATACAGATTAATGCCACCGTTTGGATTGTTTGGGGAAATACATATAATCCAAGTTGTTTTTGCCAAAATATCCCTCTACTTCATCACCCCTCGCCTCCTCCAGGCGTACATACGTACACACCTCAGTGAATTTTCTCCCAGCTGGAGAGGATGGTGCAGACTGGGCCCTAGCAACATCCCTGCCAAAGCTCAGCCAGCTGAGACAGACCAGCTGTAGAGAGTGGCAGACATGACACGCCAACCTGTGACCTTCTGGTGGGGGAGTTGAGCTGTTAAGCACCACAGCTAAATCCTGCATGTGAAATAAGTCTCTAATTACCTCGCTGTCAAGTAGGTTGGAAACTGTATTGCATGCTGACTTGGCATCTGCACCAGCACTGGCATATGCAGCACTTATTTGCATAAGAATACTGCAGGATTATTCATTTGGGAAGGAAGCGAGAAAAAGTGGGTTTTGCTCTTAATTTGGTTAGTTGCAACTGAGGTTCAAAGCAGGATAGTGTGTGCATTAGGGGGTGCAGGTGGAGGGGTCGGAAAGGACTCTTGCCTTAATTCAAGGATGCTATTTCCAGACATGAACTACAACCCATTACACTAAGTATTGCATTCCCCGAGCCTTTTAATAAAAAAGGCTGGGGCATATCTCTGCCCTTGTGACCAGCAATCATAGCGCCTGAACGGCATTTTATTTGACAGTACTAGCAGTCAGTCAGACTGCTATAAATAAAATCGTTGCCTGATACCATTTTATGGGTTTATTGGATAACAAAAAAGGACAGGTGCAGGATACAAGTAAAGGAGTCTGGCACATTACTGATGTGTTTATCTACTGGTTCCACACTGGAAAAGGTGATTTGAGGTCAGAGTCTTGTGGGTTGGTGCGAAAAATAGGTCCTTCCCTCCAGAAAACACAGTTTATGGTATGAAGGCTTTTTTCAACAGCCAGACATCTGTGATATTACTGCTTATGAGGAGGGCTTGTCAACACCAGTACCTTTGTAGGGAAATAGCCGGTAAACCTTTTTTCAATTAATTATAGGGAGGGAGAAAAAATACAAGGGCATCAATCCCAATTTTTGATTCTTACCTGAGGATTGTGATAGACACCAACTTTTGCTTGGACACTGTCCTGAAGGATCATGCAGAGAAGGGGTGAAGGGCACTCTGGTCATGCTCGCCTCTCTTCAAGGACAGCAAGGTCCCAATGCAGGTCAAGCTTGTGATATATTAGACCAGTGTGCAAACCATCCTCCCACACTGAAGGCAGATGTGTGCCAGATAGCTGATGAGGAAGCTCTGAGGCATGGGGTGACAACTCCTGGAGTTTGAGTTTGTAAGCAAATGTTTGTATAGCCAGGGCTTGGAATGCCCCTTGATTGGTTTGCAGAAAGATAAGCAGCAACTGCTCAAGATCTGCACCTCCTCTTGTGCACAGTGATGGGTTTCTGCATGGGTCAGACACTTGACTCACCAAAAAAAGGGAGGGAGGGAAATTCAAAGTCCTCCAGAACATTTGTACCACCAAGTTCATCTCTGGAGCAGAGCAAGAGTTAGCTAAGAATGCCAGAAGCAGTTAAGACTATTCCCAAAGACAATTTGGTCAGAAAGGGAATTCAGTACACAAAGCTGAAGTGCTTCTAGCACCTTGAAAAGAGGGGTCTCAGAGGGATCTTACAGAGATATACAAGATGCCAAATGTGATTGAGAATGTAAACCCAACTCAATACTTTCAAATACGCCCAGGACAAAGGATAATAATACTTGATTTGATACAGTGCCTTATCACATCTTTGAGACATCTCAAGGCGCTTCACAGAATATACTGTGAAGTGAATTGACTGTATATTTTGTGGGCGAAACACAGCTGCCAATTGTGCACACCAGAGTCCCACAAACTGTTGTCGATTGAGTGACCAAATTTTGTTATCCCCAGAAAAGCGATCTGCCAATCGACCTACAACCGGGTTCCTATTTACTGCTACATAAACAGAGGCATTTGGAGTAAGGAAACTTGCTCAACGTTTTATCTGCCAGGAAGCAAACCCAGTTCCTCTCGCTTGCGGGATGAGTGCTCTAACCACTGAGCTACAAGACTCTACAAGTTCAAGGATACGTACAGGTTCAGGGTTGTAAAGGTCACAGGTTGCGTGTCATGTCTACAGTCACCAGGAATATTTCTTTACACAAAGGGTAGCAAGTGGAACAAGTTACCAGGAAGCATGATTGTCGCCAAGATATTAAAATTATTTAAGATTCAATTGCTTGATCCTGTAGTCAGATGATAGTGAAATGTGTAAAATAATAATAATTCTTACATTTGGTATAGCCCCATTCACATTGGGTGAAAACGTGGCCAAGCAAGTGAGAAGCACAAATGAATGACCTGGAAGCCTTTTCGGCACAAGTATTGTGTAAGATGATGTGCTTGTCTCCTCTCTGAAGAAATTGGATAACTGATATTTGAATAAGCTGCAGCATTTATTCTGTTTCAGTGACTAACAATGTTCTTTTGTTGATTTTAGTGACAAAATGTTCCCTGCCTTTGGGTTTGGAGCAAGGATACCGCCTGATTCTAGCGTGAGTACCAAGTCGTGTGACTTCCACAAATAGAGGGTCAGGTTAACATAATCATTTTGCTCTTTTATTGCACATTATTCTATTGAATCTATCCCATCACGCTCTCCGAGTTATTCCATTTTACCACTTCTTTTTATTTCACTCTTGTGGGTTATATTGCTGAGTATAAATCTCCTCAATTAAATTGTAATTGAGAATGGAGGAAAGAATCAATAGGAAAGTCACCTTAGTTAACCCTCATGAATATCCCGAAGGCAGGGATTCTTTCCACTGTTCCCTATTAATCTGCAAACCAAAGTCCTAACAGTACTAACAACAAGAAGCTTACTGGTGTTTGCGATGGCGAGCTGTGTGATTTTAGCTGGTTAAAACTCCAGAAGTCCTCTAATTACTTGCATGTATGAAGATCATATGTACCCTTTATGCACCTTGGTTCTTGCCAACCTGTGCCTTCACTGTCTGGGATTAGGTAAGTAGTTGCGTACCTCTGGGGAAACAATTGGGGATATCCATACATAAGAGGAATTGTCACTCTTGTGCATGTCTTAAGTTTATTGACAGAATTCTCAAACTACAGTCTTGGAGACTTGGTTGAAATGTACAAGACAGACGCAGGTTGAATTTGTTGTATTTGCATCATTTATTTATGTCTAAGGACGGGGATTTGTTTTACAAGGGGAGTCTCAGAGAGGAGACAATCACATTATCTTATACAATACTTCTGTCACAGAGACTTCCAGGTCATTAGTTTGTGCTTCTCGCGTGCTTGGATCTGTTTTCTTTCTTGAGATACATTAAAACAAAACCCCATCCTTAGGCATAAATAAATGATGGAGAGGCTCAAGACTCTTTTTACTGTGTCAATATAGAAGAGTCTCAGCTTCGACAGGGTCTGCTCTCATGAATCTAATGATGATGTGATTTTCAATGGAAGATTTCACACAGCCCATACCTTTAACTGTTAGCCCTCTAATGCTCCGTATTTCTTTCTCAATTGATTCCCTTCTAGGTTTGCCATGACTTTGCAATCAACTTTAATGAAGACAATCCAGAATGTGCAGGTAAACCTAGCAGAAGCGTCAGCCCACACATTCGTACAACTCTACAGAGAAGGATCAAGCATTCAGAACTCCCAATAAGTTCCCCTTAAAATAACTGAGATGTTATTCTTCACCCATCGGTGCATTTGGTGACAAATACATATAAATTAATAAATAAATGCAAATGTGGAAACCATTCAGAACATGACATAAACTGGCAAATTATTTAAACACAGCAGTGGAAGAAACACAAAAAGTACCAGTTATTCTTTTTAAAAATGAATGAACTAATTTCTCTTTTATTTGAGTTGATCAGGTGAAACTCCAACTAAGCATTATTCACAAGGGTTGAAGTAAAGGTGACCACAGAGATACGAGACAGTAATGTCATGGCTGCCTCTCTGTAGACATTTGAAGATGCTTGTACTTTGCAGAGTGATATGCAGGACCATGGAGTTTCACAATGCAGTGTCAGTCCTCTTTTTGCAGTGCTCCTTTTAGCCCCTTTCTGGAGGAACCACAAATGGTTGGGGGTTGTTGCATTGACGAAGGTGCCGTCGTTTATGAGAGACCCTAAACCGAGGTCCCTTCAGTATTTTTAGGTGGACATTAAAGAGCCCTGTGGCTCTATTTGAAAAGAGAAGGGACCTTCTCCTGATGTCCGGCTTACCCTCCCTCAAATACAAATTGGGTATTCGTTTTATGGCTGTTTATGGGACATTGTTGCGTTTGCAAAAATTGGCTGCCGCATTTGCCCACCAAACACAAGCTTTACAGAAGCTGTTCAGTAAATCCTGTGAAGTGCTTTTAAACATCCTTCTGACATGAAAGGCGTTTTACCAATGTAAGGATTATTTACTCATTTTCACACCTCAAGCACGCGCTACATATAGCTGGTTCTCAAGTCCTGTAGCTCAGTGGTTAGAGCACTCGCTTTGCAAGCGAGAGACCTGAGTTCAATTCCAGGCAGGGCGAAACATTGGGCAAGTTTCCTTACTCCACACACCTAATAATAATCCCTCCAAAACCAAAAACAATAATAAATTGGTCATTTTCAATCTACGACTGTTTGTGGGACATTGCTGTGCGCAATTGGCTGCTGCGTTCGCCCACAAATATACAGTCAATTCACTTTACAGTGTGTTCTGTGAAGCGCTTTGGGACGTCCTCCCGACGTGAAAAGTGCTATATCAAATGCAAGGATTATTATTATTATTTATCAGCATGATATATCATGCAGACATTTCTCTAAAGAAACGGTGGAAAGACCAGCAGGGAGTTGTACTAACTAGCTCTGGAAGTAGCCTACAGTTAGTCACAGACTTTGGGTAACTCATGTGTAACTTAGAGATAGTGAGAGCCTATGCATCAGCCTGGCACACTGGTACTACTCTTGCTTATGAGTCAGAAGGTTGTGAGTTCAAGCCCCATGTCAGGACTTGGAATTACATGTCTAAGCTGACACTGATGCAGTGCTGGGGGTGCATTGGATTGCCAGAGGTGCCGTCCTTCAGATGAGACATTAAACCGAGGTCTTGTCTGTCTGTTCAGGTGGATGTTAAAGTTCCTATTGCACTATTCGAAAAGAGAAGGGGAGTTTCTTCCGGTGTCCTGGCAACAAATCCTCCAAATAAAATTGGTCATTCACTTCATGGCTGTTTGTGGGACATTTCTGTGTGCAAACTGGCGGCCACGTTTCACCCACAAAATATAGTCAATCCACTTTACAGTATAACTTGTGAAGCACTTTGAGATGTCTCGACAACATATTAAGCCGCTTTATCAATTGCAAGTATTATTATTTTTTATTATAGGACACTGAGTAACTCATTAGCAACCTAGACCTAGTGACATGCTCTGGGTAACTCTTGAATAGCCGAGGAACATATCCAAATATGCTTGCAGTATTGATAGAACAGGTTACTTGTACAGTCTAATGGCTGGGTAAACAAGGTATCCAGACCCTTTTATAATGACCTAAATAAGGGTAAAAAAATCAAAGCGTGTGTTTGGAATTTAAGTAGGTTTAATGTTACTGAATAAAGATGAACACTAATCTGGTTTTAACATCTAGGCTGATCTGATTGTAAAGGCTGTGGTTTTTGAAAAGTGATATCTGAAAATTGTGATGAGCGTGCTGATGTGTGAATGTGCTGATGCTGCGTTCTAACATAACCTCATGCATAATGAATCAGTTTAAATAAAGACGAAAGAGCAGCCTGAAAAATGTTATACCCAGTAGATGATTTGGTGCATGCTCACTCTTTGATGATGGTCTTCTCAACAAGGTATACAGGGAGTCGTAGAAGCTTATCAGAAGTGCCTTCCAAAGATCCAGCTTTATGGACCGACGAATATTGCTCCAATTATTCAAAAGGTGGCCAGTTCAGCCTCGGAGGAAATGCATACGAAGGAGGCAACTGTGAGTGCTGTCATGCTCAATAATGCTATTAAATCAAGTGGTTTCCCCAGTCCATAGTCGGAGACTTGCTGGTATTATTCTATCATAGTGTTATGTCCAGGGGCCATACAATTACATAGAAATCACAATGTAATTCACAAGGGGCTTGTTCAGAATCACAATGTAATTCACAAGGGGCTTGTTCAGAAAGCAGCTTTCCTTTTCAATGCTGTCATAAAGACAGTTCACTTAGAACTCCACTGTAATCGCTGCTTCCTGGAACATACAGTAGTTATAACATGATAGTTGGGAGTCAATACAAATCCAGCCAACATTGCAGCAGGTCCGCATTCACTCCACGTGCCTGAGGAAAACCAGTTGATTTCCCCGACTAAAACATGACCACTTTTTGAGCCATCAAGTCATTACTTGATGGGCTGCTCCACCTCCCCTGCTCGGCCAGTGCCACCATCAGCAGTCAGACCTTCAGGCTTTCTGCCCCCACCCTTTGGAACTCCATCCCATATTCCCTTCTCCTTGTTCCCTCCCTTGCCTCCTTCAAGGCACGTCTCAACATCCTCTTCTTCGACCGTGCCTTCGGCCACCCCCCTATCCTGCCTTCCACCCTCCCCGATCCCGATCCCGATCCCCAGCTCAGGTCCAAATCCCTGATTGTCCAACGCCTTGGAACGTCCTCCCGATGTGAAAGGCACTTTACAAATGTAATTGTTTTGTGTTACAACGTCATGATGTCACCTCCTCAGAAATCGGCCATTTTTTTAGTCACGGGTTAAACCAGCCAAGCTGACTTTCTATATTCATTTTGTATTTTATTTGGTAAGTAAATGTCAAGGTGAGAATTGTCTACTAAAAAGATTGAGTTCCAGCAGCAGAACTAAGTCAATCAGAGGGTTGTCCCAGCCTCAGCTCGAGCACAGTGCACAGGAAGTGACATCAACGGTAATCCCACAACAAAAAACAACATATTGCATTTATACAGTGAAACTTGCATAGAATAACGTCTTGGAGCCTTTCACATCATCTGGGTTGGACACTGAATAAAGGGAGAGGAGGGAGATGGACATTTTGTAGCATGGGATTCCGGCTAGCCATTGCTGCAAGCCCAATACACTGCCATTATGGTTAATGCATGATCACAGGCCACTAACACAAGAAACAAAGTATACTGTACACTGGAGGTAAGGGTTACTCTGTTTGTGAACTCTAAGTTGTTTGGAGAATCTTAAGCAAGGTGATGGGCTTCTGCATGTATCAGACACCCGGCTGGTCAAAAGAAAATAAGAGGGTTTTCCAGTTATTAATAGGTCACAAACAACAACAACAACAAATACTTGCATTTACATAGAGCCCTTCACACGGGGTAGCATTTTGGCATGCCATTGAGATAATAGAGCTATAACAGTGGTTTTAGCTGGTTAGACTCCAGCAGTTCCACACTCTGGGGTCTCCAAGACTTGGCTCTTACCAATTTGCAACTAATATTTTCCGGAATTTGGTACGCAGGATGGGTCCCTCCATGGAGAGAGTGCGCCTTCCATTTCAACAATCTATCCCTCAAATTTTCATGTGTAGGTGGGATGCATGGAAATCTCAGTTTGGTTTGGATACTCTTAAACATGGTGATGGGTTTCCGCATGTGTCAGACACCTGGCTGACAAAAAAAATAGAACCCAATGTCTCATGAACCCAGGAAAGGGAAGATGCAATCCTATTACTGCTTCATATAGAATAACGACTCGCTAAATGTCTTCCTTGTTTCCCAGCAATACTTCATCCTTCTGATTTTAACTGATGGAGTGATTACAGACATGGCTGACACCAGAGAAGCCATCGTTCACGCTTCCCATCTCCCAATGTCGGTCATCATCGTGGGGGTTGGAAACGCGGACTTCAGTGACATGCAGATGTTAGATGGAGATGACGGCATTCTCCGATCCCCAAAAGGGGAACCAGTTTTACGAGACATTGTTCAGTTTGTGCCATTCAGGAACTTTAAGCATGTAAGTATCAATCACGCCTGTCTTTACTTGAGAAGAATCTTGTGGCCAGCCTTCACTTAAATCATATGGAATAATTTGCGATGGTTTTGATTCATTTGCTTTATGTGTTACCAATTATTACTGCTATTAAGTCCTGGAGTATATTGGTTAGAGCACTTACCTCTCAAGAAAGAGGACCTGGGTTTGATTTCCAGGTGGGGCAAAACCTTAAGCGAGTTTCCTTCCTACACACAACTCCGTTTACCTAGCAGTAAGTAGGAACTCGGTTGTTAGTTGAGTGGTGGATCGCTTTCTGGGGGTAATAATCCCTTCAAAAACTAACAATGATAATAATTTGTGCACTCAATCTACAAATGTTTGCGGGATACTGCTATGTGCCACATGTCACCCACAAAAGTATAAAGTAAATTCACTTTACAGTATATTCTATGAATCACTTTGAGAAGTCTCAATGACGTGATAAGGCACTATATCAAATGCAAGGATTATTATTATTAGATAATAAGACTGATTCATTTGGGGTCAAGTGAAGTCCGATAAGCCTAAATGTTTATTGTAATAATTGCTATGTATTGTAGTAAGTGCTGTAGACCCAATCAAGTGAAAATTAAAGGTAAAAATAAAAGAACATTGATTGGAGACTTTGACAGGATTGCCAGGTTATGCAAGCATGACTGGAATGATATGAACCATTTTCAGTACTGCAAGAAATTCTTTTGTTTGCAACTTTGGGGAATTATAATAGAATATGCTTCTACAGAACGTATCTGACGTGCATTCTCTGCAAAAAGAATATCCAGATTTACATGTAACAGGACTCAATTCATCACTGTTAGGCAAGTACAGTAAGAATAAACCTGGCATTTGAGTTAAGGCCATTTGGACCATCATGCCTGCTGCCTCCACAGATAATGTACAAATTATCCCATCATGGAATCTCATCCACATAAATCATTTTCATTCTTGCTTCCTCCCCACATTCAACATTAAAGCACTTAAAGCATCTAATCGCACCAAATCTAATAATGTTGGAACAAATAAATATTTAATGATTGAACAGCTACATCAGTGCCTGAAGCACATAATAATGATGAGTTAGTCTCCCACTTACACATTTATGTATATACTGATGACTATTATTCAAATATAAAAATATTCACAGTACATTACCTCCCAGGACATTACAATTAATATGACTGGGGTAATAATGACCATACTAAGTTCTGCAAGAAATGCTGTTGTTTGGCAACTTTTGGGAAATACAGTGGAATACAAAGATAATACCAAACGTATCTGATGTGAATTCTAAGCAAAAAGAATATCATGATTTACATGTAACTACAGATTCTGCAGCTCATGTCCTTCCCGCATCAAGATCCATGACCCTCCATCCTCGCCCGGCTCCACTGATTTCCAGAAGTTATAGTTCAAAATCCTTGTCCTTGCCTTCATGGCCCTCAACGGCCTTGGTCCTCCCTACCTCTGTGATCTGCTAACCCCATACAGACCTGTTTAAGCGCTCTGAGAAGCCATCCGATGTGGAGGGTGCTATATAAATCCAAGTTGTTGTTGTTGTTGTTTGCTCCCTCCGCTCAGCAGGCTCTGACCTGCTCCATGTCCTCCGCCTGGTCACCCCACCTTCGGTAGTCGGACCGTCAGCCTCTCTGGCCCCACCCTTTGGAACACCATTCAACAGTCCCCTTCATCTCGCTCCCTCCATTGCCTCCTTCAAGGCCCGTCTCTTTGACTGCAGTCACCCTCCTACCCCCACCTTCCCTGCCCTCCACCCCTCCTGATCACAACTCCCAAATCCCTGACTTTGTTGTTGTTGTAATGGGACTCAGTATGTCACTGTTAGGCAAGTACAGTAAGATCCAACATGGCATTTACTAAAACAATTTGCTTGCGTCAAGGTATGGTTCTGAAATTATTACATGGTGCTGGTTTTAGATGTGGATTCAACTAAATAATTACAAAACACAATTGTAAAGAAGAACTGGCCCGGCGGATGTTGTGCTTATTAAGGTGAGGGGAGATAGTACTGGGGATATCTATCAGATGGTGCCCATGAGATGCAATATTCCGGGATCTATTTATACCAGCACTGCAAAACACACAGAATGTCTTAGCCACAGCAGCTGTTTTCCTTTCCTGCCCTCAGTTGAGAGAATCCTGTGCTAATTTACAAATGTTCTCCTGTTAACTCTCTGCCAGCAATTAAAATGGTTCATGCAGTCACAGAGATGATAACTGCAGAGCCAATGCTTTTTATATCCAATTCCTTCGAGAAGCCTTTAAGGTTTCGCTTTGTGCCACATCATCTCAGGCTGTCTCACTTCTATTCTTATTTAACAAACAGTTCTAATTTCCTGAATGCAAAAAGTTCGTCAAATTTATTTCCATATAGATGGATGGTGTAGGTGGAATCTCATTGTGAATCTGTTGTAAGTAATGCGTATCCAGTTCAGAGTCAAGAGTCAGCTTCGGAATCCACATGTGACTGACGTTTGGAAATTATTTGGTTGGGTATTCAATGAGACTTTGAAGTGTAACTTTGTTGAACACTTTCTGCACCCAGTGTGAGCAGCACACACTCCCATGTCAAACAGTGCAAACTGGAAAAGGAAGATTGGAAAAACAGGGAATCGGCATTAATCTTCTCAGCCTTTTTTTTGGTGAGCCTGGTGTTTGACACAGAAACCCATCACCACAATCACCAAACTGAGAGTTGCACAACAACAACATCAAATTACACTTGTATAGCACCCTTCACATCGGAAAGACTTCCCAGGGCGCTGGACATTAAGGGTTTTTTGAACCTGATGCTACTTGTCCTATGTCTGGAATTGACACATTACCTCCTTGAGACTAAATTTCTTAATGTTGACATTAATCAGGCAGTACTTTAACAATCTCGGGGAGTTGGGACTTCACGAGACAAGCCAAAGCCAAATTTCTCATCATGAGTAAAAGAACTCTGAAATTATTTTGGTGCATTAACTAAATAAGGATGATGTTTTACAATGAAAATATTCCACCTTGCATAAGGTTCACATTTAATTCTTTAAAAAACGTGAGGACTCACGCAATGAGGAATGCTTTAGATGAGTTACAAGAGAACACCTGGCATCCGTGGAAACATACCCGAGTGACAGTCAGCCAACTTCAGGAGGAGTGACAGTTGGGGTGGGGAGGAGATATCTAAACTCAAACTGGAACGGGATTGGATTATAATTCTTATCCTTTTGTTACAGGCATCTCCTGCTGCTCTTGCAAAAAGCGTCCTTGCAGAAGTCCCCAACCAAGTGGTGGACTATTACAGCAGCAAAGCAATTGCACCAAAATGTCTGTCAGACTACGAGTCTTCCAGAACACTTGCACCGTAATATTTCTTCAGTGACCTTTTGCTTAGTACAACGTATGATGTATAGTGCGTCTCAGTGATTTTTAAATGAATGACAAAAAAAAAACTTTTTTGCATGTGTAGCCATTGAGGCTTGCATTCTCTTACGCTGTTGTACTGTTGACAGATTTTTACAAGATGGACTACTTTACATTACAGCATGTCGCCTTGAAACGTATCTGTATCTGGTTTTTATACAGGTTTATTGAGATTTTACTAAATTTCTTAATATTCTTACACTATAAAGCATTTTGGAACATTTATTGAGAGTTGATAGTGGACAGTATTAGTGCCATCTGTTCCTTATGAAGGATTTTTCAAAACTGAGGATGCATGGATTGTATTTTGCATGTCTATAATAAAATGACACTGTTTTCCAATTCTTGTCTTTTCTCGCTAGTCAGAGGATGTCATATAGATTGTTCTATTAGCATCCAATATCAGTGACTCCCACATCCAGTGTCCGTGACCATCACACCCAGTGTCAGTGACCCCCGCACTCAGTGTCTCCACACCCAGTGTCAGTGACTCCCACACCCAGTGTCAGAGTCCCCCACACCCAGTCAGTGACCCCCACACCTAGTGTCTTCACACACAATGTCAGTGACTCCCACACCTAGTATCTCCAACCCAGGGTCAGTGACCCCCACACCCAGTGTCAGTGACCCCCACACCCAGTGTCAGTGTCCAACAGCACATCTGTTAGAGAAGCTACAGTGAATGTAGGTAGTACAGCAGTAGATAGCTAGAGGCAATCACCATTATTATTCCCTCTACCCACAACCACCAGAACTGAGCTGCTGATCTTATGCCCATGTCTGTGGGCTAGGGATGAAGAGGAGTCAGTCAAGCCCATCACCTACTGACTCCATCAGAAACAACGTAGTTCAGATTGGCAATGGCAGCAGTCGGGAGCAACTCTCCTGTCATCTTTTATTCTTCTACACTCCACTTGATGTGCATCCCAGGGAGACAACAACCACAACTTGCATTTATTATAGCGCCCCCTCACACAGGATAGGTCCCAAAGTGCTTAATGGAGACCATTGAGTACAAGAAATAGAATCTCACCTCCCCCATTTTATTTAGCAATATTCCGCAATTCATTAAAAAATCATACTGATTTCCTGATTTTTAATAATTTTGCTAAGGCAAAAAATTGCTGATCTTTAAGTTGTCAGGTGGCCACAGACACCATTGCCTGCACGGTGTACACCATAGCACTCAGGCGCACAGAAAAAGAAGCGATTTCCATGGAGACTCAAACAAGTCTCAAACTCAAAGCTGGGAGTAGCTTGTTGTAGCTGAAAACATCAACATAAAACAAATTAGAAATAGACATTGATTTTATTCATCAAATCGATTTCCAACACCCCTATTCATACGTAAGCAAGCTTCCTTGGCTGATTATTGAGAGTTACAGTTAATTCTTCTTGAGACTCTAATTATGCTCAGGCCTCTGTGTTCCTTACCTTATTTCACCATGAGAAGAATCTGAATAATTTTACTAGATAATGAGTTGATGAATTTTACCGGCTAATGCAAGCCATCGCCAAGGTTTTGTGAATATCCATTCAAATTTCCCAGGAGATTTCCCAACGGCTGATAAGAGTGCACAGATCCGGATTTAAAGTAGCATTTGCTCAGCTGTACGTTATATTAAATTCATTATTTATGCATTTTAACTTTTTATTGAAGTCATGAAGGTTCAATTGTATATCTGAGCCTTGATACAGTACAGACTACATGGTACAAACAGGACTGTAAATGTCCAAACGTAGATGAGTAGAAATTCCACCTGTATCTAGATTTAGTAATATTAATAATCATTGCATTTGCTATAGCCCTTTCTCATCAGAAGCACGTCCCAAAGTGCTTCACAGGATTTGTTGTAAAGTGGAGTGATTATGTGTATGTTGGGGGTGATTTGAGGGTGAGCCATTTTAGAACCTCGGCGTCCTGTTCGACCCTCAATTGTCCTTCATCCCGCCATCCATGCCATGACCTGCACTGCTTTACCCCAGCTCCGCAACATTGCCTGATTCCACAACTGTCTCTCACCACAGGTCATCCACGGGTTCATCACATCTAGGCACAACTACGCCAACTCCCTGCTTGGCAGCCTCCCCAACTGCTCCCTCCACAATCTGCAGATCATCGAGAACTCTGCAGCCCATGTCCTCTCCCGCTCCAGATTCCGCGACCCTATCACCCCTATCCTTACCCGGCTCCACTGGCTCCCCATCACCCAGCGGATACAATTCAAGATGCTGGTCCTTACAGCGAAAGTCCTCCACAGCCTTGCTCCTCCCTAACGTCACGGTTACACTATTTTTCTAGACTCTCTATCCTGTATAAATATGTCGTAGATAATAATATTAATCATTGAAATGTTTGGGCATGCCTGTCTCATTTAAGAGGGTTTGAGTTTTTAACCTGACAACTGCTCTTATTTAGATGACCAGAGACAGCTTTGGAGACCCTGAGTCTGGGAGCTGCCTAGATAGGTACAGTAGAACCTCACTAATCCGGTCGCTCAAGTGACTGGGAAAAGTGACCTACTTAATGAGGGTGACCAGGTTACTGAAATCGGATTACATAGGATGAACATAGTGACTTTTAAAATTACATAGGCTGAACCTTCATTGACCATACTTCGCAATCTCACTAAAATAAAGGCATTGTCATATTTAAAACAGATCTCAGGTTTCATTATTCAAAGTTCATATGAGAAGTTAAAATCATACAAAATGTTAATTTATTCAAAAAAGAGTCCAGTGTTGTTTGCCCGGCTGCTGATTTAACCTGTACTGCTTTGGCCTGCAGTTGACCCTCAGCATCAGCCAAAGTCTGCCATACATTGAATTTATGATCAAGTCCTTCACTTGTCCCAACATACCCAGTGCATCAGCATAAGTGAGGGAGTATTTGATGCTTTAGGTTGCTCTGCCTGTTCCTTCTCCTGTGTCTTGTTCCTCAGTGACCCTGGTATGTGCTAGAAACTCCTCCACTAGACGCTCCCTCCCACCAGTGCAGTCATCACCACAAACTGAAAGGCTTCTGTCAGGGAGAGCCCTGAAAACAATACCAGATTTGTCCATGTTAAAGATGCCTTTGGGTACGTAGCCAGCTGTAATCTCGGGGAGTTTCTCCTTCAACAACAGCTGGCCTAATGTCACCCTTTTCACCGGATACGATTGCAGACCCAATGTTGTGTCTGGATTTGAAACGGCCAAGCCAGCCATTTGATGCCTTCAAGCCAATCTTGCCAAGTAAAGCTGTGTGCTTTCTTCTGTATCATCGGGTCAGAATTAGACATGTTGAGACCGTGAGCACGCTGGAACCGGAACGTAAACTGGAGCTCTCATGTCAGTTTATTTAATGTCTTGATACTGAGAGTTCAAACACACACATTTTCTATCAGGCTGTTGATTTTCTTCAAAAGCTGTGATGTATTCAGCCTTCCTTTTTGTGAATGCATCCAACTCATGTTCTGCCAATGCCATAGATTACAGCTAACTAACTGTCTATGACTTTTGTCCCCACTGTTTTTGATGAAGTCCACTCTCTCACGTAAGGACAACTCCTTCCGTGGTGCATGTTTACAGCACTTACCAAGAATTGGCCACAGGAGATTAGGTTAGGTCGTGGACACCGGGCGAAGTCGATTTTTTTGCTCACGCCGTTTCCGCGATCCCAACAATCTCTGCGCTGCCCATGCGCAACCAGAGCCCACTCCAGCCACAGTAGCAGCGTCAGGCAAACAGCACGAGAGGCGCAAGGCCTAGCGCACTGTGTACAGGTTAGTAACGGAGAGGGCTGTTTGTACCACGTCTTTACTGGAGCAGGGCGCTTATAGTGGCCACAATCATTGACCGTTGTCCTGAATAGTGAGACAGACAGTCTATCTTTTAACATAGTCGATGAAAGAGACTGTGAAAATGTACCCGCGATTGTGAGGTTTGCTGGATTACCGAGGTGACTACAAACCGGGTTCCTACTGTAGTTACGTTTTGTGCGATAGCTGATACTTTGTTTAAGGAGAGGAGCCAAGTGCCTATATAAGGAAGGGGGCTGGCTTACCTCAAGGCTCCTGGCTTGTTCCCATCATTAGGTATGTGCCTGATTACCTCCGAATCAAGATTAATTCACTAACCTTAGTAAGTGCTGCTAGTTATATCTTAGTTATTGGTGTACATAGTTATCTGGTTCCAACGCTGCGTTTGTTTTATATTATTGTTGCCTAGAGTAAGTAAGATACAGGGTTGTCTAGGGCTAATAAAAGTCTGTTGTATCTTCTCAGTAGTGCATTCGAGTCTCTGTTAAATCCTTAAAGAGGGAGGTAGGGAAATACACAAAATAAGTATTTGCTGGGCTCAATGGCCTGGTAGTGCGATAAGGCACTGGGGAAAGTATCTCGATTGCATAGTCAGTGATTCAATTGGGAATACCTGTTGTTGTGTTGTTCCAAATAGTGAAGTTCCACAAGAGAAGGGATTTGCCCTCATGGAGTTAGGACTGAATGCAGAGGCTTTGCTTTTCAAAACTTTGCGGAGTGTATAAAGGGGTGAGAACTGTTACACTACCTCCTAACCCTCTATCAATGTGTCCAGTCCCTATGCTCTTTGGACTCCGGCCAATTTACGTCCCTCACCTTGCCTGCCCCACCATTGGCGGGCGGGCTTTCAGCCTCTCTGGCCCCACCATCTGGAATTCCATCCCACATCCCTCCATCTCACCCCCTCCTTTGCCTCCTTCAAGACCTGTCTCAAGACCATCATCTTCAACCATGCCTTCAGTCACCCTCCTACCACCACCCTCCCCGCCCTCCTGATCCCAACCACCAGCTTTGGTGTGGATCCCTGACTGTCCAGCGTCTTGGGAAGTCCTCCTGACGTAAAAGATACTATACAAATGTAATCTGTTGTTGTTATTGATTCATTCTTTCAGTGTAACATTTCTGAGCATCCAGAATTTGTCAAATTCTTAAACACAGTCTGTAAGTTACTTTTAAGAACTACAGAAAACAGGTTACAAAATTAATACTGATTTCAATATATTGCCAACTTGTGCAAATTTTAAAATTTTACGTTAGTAAAGTAAATCTAGACTCAGGTGGAATTTCTACCCAGCTATGAGGAGATCGCGCTATATATTTTGGGAGAGAATTACATTTGAGGTGTACCAGCATAAGGGGAATTCCTTAGCGGGTTAGGGAGCTCAAGGGTCCTTTGGATGCATGGTTCTGTAATCAGAGAAACCTTCTGCTATCCTGAGCTTTCATTGTGTTAGTGATTTTTTAAAAATGTATTTATTTTCTATTAGAGTTATAATTTTAGGGCTTTGGTATCCTTTGCTATTGTGGAACACATTTTAATTT